CGAAAAATATTTGGCGATTCGTAAGCAATTAGCCACAAGAAGATGCCTTTTGTTCTCAGTCACCTGGAATGTACCTGGAGGACCCACCCAATCTCACCCAAAAATCCCTTCCTGGCCACGAAGTCCAAAAACGTTGCCAGAAACGGAGGCACGTCCTCCACCACCGACTGAAGGAGGCTGTGGGAAGGCAGGAGGTGCCAGCTCCATTGGCGCTGCTGGAGAACTTGGCACGCTCCACTTATCTCTCCAAGGTGAAGTCTGCAAGGGTCCCCGAGCAAGGATGCCCCCCAAACTTTGGTCAAGAAAGTCAAGATGTTGTGGGTGGCTCCATCGCTGGAGGTTTCCAGAAATAGACTGGAGATCCTTTGGACTGGGCTGGTGTGGGACTCCTGCCTTGGAAAGGGGGTTGGACTAGAAGACCTCCAAGTTTATTTATTTATTTATTTATTTATTTATTTATTTATTTATTTATTTAATTTATATACCGCCCTACTCCCGAAGGACTCAGGGCGGTGAACAGCCAAACAGTAAAAATACATAGATACAAAATTCCCTTCCTTCCATAGTCTATGTTCCAAGATGGGGGCTGAGAGGATGCTATTTATCAATGCTCCACCTATTTATGGGCATCCAAGTAGCTTCAGGTCCTAATGGAAGTTGGCCAAACAAAGAAATTGCCACAAAGACACCCCTGAACAAAGGCTGCGGTAAAAATAACAACATAACACAAGACAACACAAACATATCATGTCATATCATGTCATGTCATGGCATGGCATGGCATGGCATGGCATGACATGTCCATAACCATAACCATAATACAGTAAATAGTAAAGTAAAATAAAATAAAATAATAATATAAAATATAAAATAAATGAAATAGTTGTTCAAGAAAAGATTGGATAACCATTTGTCCAGGGTGCTATAAAACCTCCTGCCTAATCCATCCCTACGATTCAGTGGTGGGTTTTAAATTTTTTTACTACTGGTTCTGTGGATGGAGCTTGGTGGGTGGGGCTTGGTGGGCGTGGCAGGGGAAGGATACTGCAAAATCCCCATTTCCTCCGATCAGCTGGGACCTGGGAGGCAGAGAGTAGATGGGGGTGGGGCCAGTCAGAATTTTTACTACCGGTTCTCCGAACTACTCAAAATTTCCACTACCGGTTCTCCAGAACTGGTCAGAACCTGCTGAAACCCACCTCTGCTAAGATTCCATGTCTCTATGAAACTAAAACAGAATACTAGAGTCAAGTCAAGGAAAATATAATAAAGTAGAGAAGGACAATTCCTTCTCATATGTTGGACTTTATGCGCTTGTTGATACATCTAAAAATAGGGCTGGCCTTCTTAGCAGCTGCATCCCAGGGCTGGCTGGGCTTCAACTTCTGATTGCAAAGGACACCCAACCCCTTTCCCATGGACAGCTGCCAAGTCATGTTTCACCACACTAGAGTCAGGCGTTGCATGTTTCTCTCCCTAGATGTGGGCCTTCACTTTTCTTCTGTCCGTTTGAGATCACTCTTCAGTCTGTCTCGATGTTTTGAACCTTCTCCGCCTCTTCTGGAAGCCTTAGTCATTCCACCTAATCTTGTGTCATCTGCGGACTTAGTGTGTCCTCGGTCACTTCCAAGCCCTTCCAAAAAGGTCCAGGATGGAGCCCTGTGGATTACAGCAGCCTTCCAAGATTTGAGGGGCTGCCACAAAGAAGAGGGGGACAACCTATTCTCCAAAGCCCCTGAAAGTCAGACAAGAAGCAACGGATGGAAACTGCATTTTACAGAGGGATAGAATCAAGATCACGTGAAGAGTTAATACCTCTTTACAATGGCTTAGTAAGCCCACACTTGGAATATTGCATCCAGTTTGGGTCACCCTAATGTAAAAAAGATGTGGAGACTCTGGAAAGAGTGCAGAGAAGAGCAACCAGGATGATGAGGGGACTGGAGGCTAAAACATATGAAGAAGGTTGCAGGAACTGGGTATGTCTAATTTAATGAAGAGAAGAACTAGGGGTGACATGATAGCAGTCTTCCAATATTTGAGAAGCTGCCCCAAAGAAGAGGGGGTCAACCTATTGTCCAAAGCACCTGAAGGAAGGACAAGAAGCAACGGATGGAAACATATCAAGGAGAGAAGCAACCTAGAACTAAGAATAGAATAGAATAGAATTCTTTATTGGCCAAGTGTGATTGGACACACAAGGAATTTGTCTTTGGTGCATAAGCTCTCAGTGTACATAAAAGAAAAGTTACGTTCATTAAGGAGAAGCTTCCTAACGGTGAGGACAATTAATCAGTGGAATGGCTTCCATCTAGAAGTTGTAGGTGCTCCATCACTGGAGGCTATTTGTCTGGAATGAAATAGGGTCTCCTGCTTGAGGAGGGGGCTGGACTAGAAGACCTCCATGGTCCCTTCCAACTCTGTTATTCTGTTGTTCCCTCTAGGTGCAGTCAGATTGATTGGATTTGATCTGATCTGGATTCACATAGAACATGCTTAT